AGGCGCTTGCTCCGTCCCGTGCATAATGCAAGTACATAATGAATATTATATACGGCTTGACCGTAGGTATATAAAGTACTGCTTTTTGTGTCTAAAACCGTGGAAAAACTGGCGCTTTATAGGTGGAAGTAGAAAAATATATTTATCAAATCAAAATAAAAATATAAATTTATTTATTTTGTATTTTAGTACAATAAAACTGGAGATATTCTGCATTCATTAGAAGAATTAATCTATACCGATAACATGAAATTAATAAACAGTGAATTGTTGGTGTTTTCACTTCAAATATTAAACATGAAGCAAGGTTTTTCTGCTGCGGATTTTTTCATTATAAACAATGGACTTTTATATGATATGGCCGGCGCTGTAGTCTCATATCTCATTATTCTGATTACCAGTTAAATAATGCACATAATAAATTACCCATTTAATTATCATTAAAGATAGAAAGACGAAGATAAACACATTTATATAATGAATTATAATGAATAATGAGACACGTTAGTAGTTTTCTATAACTTTAATTTAATACATTTTGAGGTTGATCATGTCGAGTGTAACAAAAACTTTAAAACCTTTACTCACTTTATCAGCACTAACAACGTTTCTTTATTATGGACCAACGAAGAAACCGAAATGTAAAGTTTATTTGACACTTAAACTGTCAATATGTACACTGTATACATATTCATCTTTAAAAATACTTTCAATCTTTTTTATTTGGCGAACAATTTCAATTAACATGATTATTAATATTAATACATTAGTTACTGCATTTTATGTCATCACGACATTTATCACCACGACTAAAAATAACGCAGTATTTAATAAAATGCTTCATAAGACTTTAAAAATCGACAGGGAACTAAAACTACCTCAGAAATATAATAAAACACTGCGAAAATGGATAAATGTCTTATTTGTGATTATGCTACTGGTACACATTGCTGTGTTGACGGATATAATTTACTTTTATCCAGAGTCAAAGCGTCGTGCGTTGAATTATCGCTGGGAAATGATTGTCCAATGGATAGTTACAGTTATAGTTGAAAATGCTCATGTGGCTATGATGGTAATACTCGTGAAAATGATCCAGATTAGATTTGAATATATCAATCAACAATTACTTGCTATTTCCAATGAGATAAACACCGAAATTCTTTTGTTTAAATTAAGAAAATTGCGTCCGATACACATGCAAGTAACGGAATTAATCGAAATGTTTAATTGTATCTTCGGAGTGAATTTATTCGCGATAAACGCTATGTTTTTCATACAGTTAGTCTTGGGTGGATTTTTGGTTATCGTATCGATCGAACGAGTGCACACTCATAAATTAATTGCTTATTTGATGGTTAAAGGTGGATATTTTTTGGGGTATGCTTGTTACATGTGGGTAATTTGTCATGTTTGCCATCAGACTGAACTTGAGGTAAGATAATAGTATATTAAGCATCAAGTGGCTAAACGAGGGTATTAACAACGTTTGGTGCTTACGTTGATTTTTTTTCTACTTTCACTCTATTTCCACGTTTTGGTTTTTGTATTTGAACTTTTGAATTTTAAATCTTCGAAACAAGTTCCCGACTACTGGGAAATGCATTGACTTGTTTAACTGAACATTTCATAGGGTCGTGTGCTGCACCATAAGCAAACGCGCAGGCTCAAGCTCCGCCCCATAGATAATGCGCGTCGATAGAGTATTGTGAGTAAAGTACTTTACTCACGACGAGCTTAGCCGTTCGTTAATAAAAAATCTCTTTTTGTCTAAAAACCGTAGAAAAACTGGCGCTTTGTAGGTGGAAGTAGAAAAATATATTTATCAAATCTAAATAAAAGTATAAATTTATTTATTTTATATTTTAGTATAATAGAACTGGAGATATTCTACATTCATTAGAAGAATTAATTTATACGGATAACATTAAATTAATAAACAGTGAATTGTTGGTGTTTTCACTTCAAATATTAAACATGAAGCAAGGTTTTTCTGCTGCGGATTTTTTCATTATAAACAATGGACTTTTATTTGATATGACTGGTGGTGTAGTCTCATATCTCATTATTCTGGTTACCAGTTAAATAATGCACGTAATAAATTACCCATTTCATCATCATTAAAGATAGAAACATGAAGATAAACACATTTATATAATGAATTTCGAAACACATTGGTTATTCATTTTGAGGTTGATCATGTCGAGTGTAACAAAAACTTTAAAACCCCTACTAACTTTATCGGCACTAACAACATTTCTTTATTATGGACCAACGAAGAAACAAAAATGTAAAGTTTATTTGACACTTAAACTGTCAATATGTACACTTTATACCTACTCATCTTTAAAAATACTTTCCATCTTTTTTATTTGGCCAACAATTTCAATTAACATGATTACTAATGTTAATATATTAGTTACTGCATTTTATGTTATTACAACATTTATCACAACGACAAAAAATAACGCGGTATTTAATAAAATGCTTCATAAGACTTTAAAAATCGACAGGGAACTAAAACTACCTCAGAAATATAATAAAACACTGCAAAAATGGATAAATGTCATATTTGTGATTATGTTACTGGTACACACTGCTGTATTGACGGATATAATTTACTTTTATCCAGAGTCAAAGCGTCGTGCGTTGAATTATCGCTGGGAAATGATTGTGCAATGGATAGTTACGCTTATAGTTGAAAATGCTCATGTGGCTATGATGGTAATACTCGTGAAAATGATCCACATCAGGTTTGAATATATCAATCAACAATTACTTGCTGTTGCCGATGAGATAAACACAGAAATTCTTTTGTTTAAATTAAGAAAATTGCGACCTATACACATGCAAGTAACGGAATTAATCGAGATGTTTAATTGTATCTTTGGAGTGAATTTATTAGCGATAAACGCTATGTTTTTCACACAATTTGTCCTGGGTGGATTTTTGGTGATCGTATCGATCGAACGAGCGCACGCTCATAAATTAATTGCTTATTTGATAGTTAAAGGTGGATATTTCTTGGGGTATGCTTGTTATATGTGGGTAATTTGTCATGTTTGCCATCAGACTGAACTTGAGGTAAGATAATAGTATATTAAGTATCAAGTGGCTAAACGAGGGCATTAACAACATTTAGCCACGTGGTGCTTACCCTATTTTTTCTACTTTTACTCTAATTCTACGTATTGGTTTTTGTATTTGAACTTTTGAATTTTAAATCTTCGAAATTAGTTTCTGACTACTGGGAAATGCGTTGACTTGTTTAACTGAACATTTCATACGGTCATGTGCTGCACCGTAAGCAAATGCGCAGGTGCAAGCTCCGCCCCGTAGATAATGCTCGTCGATAAAGTACTGTGAGTAAAGTACTTTACTCACGACAGGCTTAGCCGTTCGCTAATAAAAAATCTCTTTTTGTGTAAAAACCGTAGAAAAACTAGCGCTTTACAGATGCCAGTAGAAAAAACACTATAACTTTAAAGACATACGTATCTTCATATTCTTAATTTATTTTTATTTGTGTTGCAGTATAATAAAACTGGTGATGTTGTACATATTCTAGAAGAATCAATGAGTAATGATAACATACAGCGTGTAAATATGGAATTGGTAATGTTTTCACTGCAAATATTAAATTTGAAAGTGAAATTTACAGCTGCTGATTTTTTTGTTATAAATTATCGAGTTGTATTTAAAATTGTTTGTGCATTAGTGACTTATTTGATTATATTGATGCAATTTGAAAAATAAAGAAATTACTTTCTAATATTTATTATTAGCAGCATTATCTATGATTGTCATTTTAAATTTATTATTAACTAGCTTTTGTCCGCGACTTCGTTCCGGTAGTGTTTAATAAAAATGTAATTCGTTTTTACTCTCTTATTCTAGACATTATTTTAAAGAAATTAATTATATAAAGAATTGCTAATAATGCACTTCAGCACGCCATCCTTGGACTTTAACGAACATTTTAAAACTAGAATTGGCCAAATTGGTTTAGGTGTTGTTGAGTTATGCGCAAACCAACTGATTTTGCGACTCAATTTTATATTATAAATATAGATAGAATGTAAGTAGGTAATTCAGTTTTGTTAAAGTTTAAGTTTTGTTTTACTTTTTGCTTACATTCAAAAAATACAAGATTCAAGCTCCACCCCGTGACTAAAGCCTATGATTAAAGTACATTAATCACAGTCTTGGCCGTCCATGTTTAAAGAACCACTTTTTGTGTCTAAAAATGGTTGAAAAATGAAATATTTTTAAGAACATTGAAGTTATTGTTGCAATTCTCTCTGAATCACTTAGCAAACAATGAAAAACTCTAGATATATTCTTCAATTTATATTTCTCATGGAAATTTCCGGTGGTTTACTTATTTATTATGCTATCCAGAGCGGCGACATATCCCGCAAATCATATTGTCTCTTAAATTATGAATGAAAGATATAGATTCAACCGTCATTAAACTTTAGACCATGACTAGTCGATAACCAATGCAGCGATAACCGCAAGTCATTCTGCTGCGTCTTCAGACACCGATAAAATGCAAGATAACAGTGAAGAAAAACAAACTCCAAAGGGCAAATGCAACGCATTAATTAAAAATGCAATAAACAACAGAAACAAAACAACAAAAAATAATTGAGCAACATTGTAATTAATGACTATATTAATGCAATAAATACTCATATTGATTGCATTTTTCGTTATTGTTATTGTAATAAACTCGGGATTTACTTCATTGGTTTCATGATCGATTATCGCAAATGAAACCGAAATTGACGGCCAAATGTGAACCGGAACGTGCTCGCACGCTCGTGTTGCATACCTGCCATATTTGATGATTGCCGACGTAATTAATGCGTCGACTTATGCGCTACTTATTCGCGGCGTCGCCTCGTTTATCGCATTTATTAATCGGCGCACGTCCCCACCGAGCGAAACCAGCACCAGGCAAGACTTTTGCTTGGTTCATATAATCGCACGCAATTGTTTGCTACGGTTTAGTTGGCGACGCATCGTAATCGCTTTGTCTTTGATGTTTGTCGACGCATCGGGAATGCCCTCCCGATCGTGAGAGTATTGCGTGTGTGCGGGCGTGCACTGTGCACTGATTTCGATTTCATTTCAAAGTTGATTCTTGCGACAGACGCAGACGAGCAGGCGCAATATTACAATATTATTGTAACGCAGTGTTAGTGGGTTGGTCATTGCGATGTGAAGTGTTTTTTGTGTAAAATTTAAATTTAGCGAAATTGAATTTAATATTTGTGGTTTAATTTAATATAGTTTTATTTTATCTCTGTGAAGATGGATGTTATGATAAAGTTACCTTCGTATACCTACGCTACCATAAAAGTGAGTAATTTTTTAATGTTTTATTTTAAACTAGTCTTGCCCGCGATTTCGTCCCGGTAGTGTTTAATAAAAATGTAATTCGTTTTTACTCTCTTTTTCTAGACATAGTATATGTCAATTCTATCAATAAGATTTGCAATTTTATTTTAAACAAATTAATTATATAAGGAATTGCTAATAATACACTTCAGCGCGCCATCTCGGATTCAACTATTTAACTATAACTATGATTGAATCTTAATGTCAACTTTTATCCAATAGAAAAGGCTGTCTTTAGGATTTTCCCGGCAATTATTCAAATTTTTCTTGCCGTAAAAACCATCATTGGACTTTAACAAACATTTTAAAAAAGAATTGGCCAAATAGGTCCAGGCGTTGTTGAGTTATGCGCACACCAACAGATTTTGCGATTTATTTTTATATTATAGATATACGGTTGATGTCGCGGGCAAAAGCTAGTTTAAAATACAGCATACTCACTGAAATATGATACTAATTTATTTGTTATTTTATTTTTAGCACCAACTCTCAAAATTACCCATATTAAAATCCCAAATTAAACTTTTAATAGCCACATCAATCATAACCTCAATTTTAGTAATCCCAACTTTTGTATTTTTATTCTCCCTTGTTTTACTCTACAGAAAATGTATAGACTTACTTCTACACTTTCATATTGAACACCGGTATCGTGGTCTACTGCGTGGTGTAGATACAATCTGTTGTAATCAACCCTCTTGCACCCCTTCTTTTTTCTTTCTGATAGACTACAACAAATCACACGAAGATCTTCGACAAGATTTCATAAATTTACTACGACAATGTCGCTACGCACGACATGAAAAACTCTTCTACAGTTGGTCATCATTCTTTGGTTATCACTACTACTATAAAAACAACTTAAAAGTTGAAGATTACATCACAATTGCTGATATGCCAGAAAACACTTCAACAATTAATATAATAAAAAACAAAGAAGATTTTGCTAATGTTATTGTCCAATACGACACTGCAAAAATGCCCGATGACAACAACGCGTTATTTCATATAATTATCTATCCACAACAAGTAAAACTACCCCAAGTTGAGGGTTGTAAACTGGTATGTTTTAAAATGCATCACGCTTTGGCTGATGGCAAAGCTATACTAGGTTGGATGATGGCGGATCTGGCCGATAAAGAACCAAATCATCAAACCAATGGATTACAAAATGGAGGATTTGCCAAACCTACAAATGGCGTACAAAAACAAATCGGAAAGTGCGTAATGGACGACATTATTAAATCATGCAAGAAAACCTTGTTTGATGATAAAATCAAAGTGCTACCAAGTGATTATCATGATGATAATATCTTACTGGGTAGAAATCTGCGTGATGAGAAATTTATTTGTTGGTTTAGTGACTTTTCATCGGAATATATCGATAAAATCAAAACTATACGCAAATCAAGGGAAGGTGTTTCGTTTTTGGATGTTATCAACACTTGCATTTCTTCAAGTTTACAGAAATATTATGAAAAAGTAAGTATATAACTTTTTTATTTTTATTTTACTAATATTTTATTTTTTTTTATTCCAACAGCACTCAAATATAATTCCAGAGGAAATTTCCGGTGGAGTTGTTCTATCGCCAGCTAATTATAGTTTTCGATATGGAAACCCAGCGGATTTTACATTTTCCAATGAATTTTCCGTTGGTGGATTTCGTTTTCCTATTGTCATCAACAAAACTTAAATAAACGCGAAGAAATCCTTGAAAAGTTGAAGTTTTGCCAAAGGGAATATCAAGCTGTCAAAGAAAGCATCGATGTTAAGGTTTGTTAAATTTTTAACCTAACATTACATCAACTTTATTTAAATATTATTAATATTATTTTTAGTATTTTTATTGGTTGAGCGATGTATTTTCCCTCCTGCCATATCAACTACCAACGTTTTTGCAAGTCAACTTAAAATCACAATTGGTGTGAGCAGTCTTCCGGGATCCGATAAACAAATGACGCTTTTTGGTGGACATCTAATGAAAGATGTAATTTTAATGGCGCCAAATTCACCAGGCACGGCTTTACACTTCGTTAATTGTTCATATGGCAATAGATTTAAGATTTCATTAACTATAGATAAAAGTGTTGTTGAAAACTTCGCCAATGCACAAAGCATTGTTGACGGAATAATTGATAACATTGATTTGTTATATGACATTGTCACAAGTGCAAACTAATAAACTTTTTTACATTTGGCAGTTGATATTTCGGTGATACTTGTCTCTCGTCTCATTTCGGTCTTGTTTTTCGTGTTTATTGTCTCCAACATCTCAAAATTTCAAAATGGCCTCCTCAGCTAAAGCTAAAGTACGCTGTGCGCACTCTCAGACTTTCAGCTTCAGCTTTACGAGTTCTCGTCACACACAATCAGGGTCCAATACTCCATCAGCGACATCTCATCAACATGAAGTGTACCTGCAGCAATCACATTCGCAAGGCTCTCAACATGGCACAGCTACGCATGAAGATGATATGTTGCCATTTTTTCCGCGTTTTGAATCGCAGTGGTTGTGTGATGAAAAGTTACTGGTTGCATGGTTTGAGCCGCATTTTGCTCAGGCTAAGTATAATTTAGACCCGGGGAATAATGGTGGTAGTAATGCGTGTACATTAATCGCTGTTTTGTTGAGCTCTTATTGTTCGAGTGAGAAAGTTTTGGTAAGTTATGTAGGCAACACTTTTTACCTATTTTTATTATGTTTATTAATGTTTTAGACAACCTGTACGCACAATCAAATAAGTTATTGTATCATCAAAGCTCTGGGCATTGCTATGCTGAACGGCAATGAAATTTACAACCGTCTAAAACGTGAAGGGCAACTACCAAACGTTAATTTGTCTATTCCTGAAGCGATTAGTTGCGCGGGGAAGTTTGCGTCGCGTATTAAAGAATGGGTTAGTTTTTATTGATTTAACAACGAGAATTTCAAATTATCATTTTTTAATTGTTGTAGAAAAGTGTCCTTTACATGCAGTCACTCTCCGATTCTTTATTTACCAACACCCAGGGCCATTTAGATGAATGGAACGCTAGTGCGCATGCACAAAGGCACAATTATCTTTATATCATTTTAATTTCGGACGCACGTAGTGTTTTATTTATTAACAATCGTAAAGATAATTCAGTAAGTAAAGAATACATTGTTGTTTATACCTTTTAATGGCGATTTTATAGATAACTCTTGTCGATTCTCATCAACATTCAGCTTATAAAGGTGCTGCTATTGCTGTCGTTAATAAAGCAAACTTCAGATGTCTTTGCAACTGGTTCGTCCATATTCTACAAAAGTACAATCAATCAAATCCGGGACTGTACGAATTGTCATTTTTATATTATCGAAGAAAGTAGAATTTTTATCAATTTTATCAATTTTATGCTATATAACTATTTCAATGAAAAAAATAAATGCAATATTTTATCGATTTTATCTTGTATTTGACTGTATGCAACTTTATATACATCTCGTCTTTATATACAACTCAACTCAAAACAAAATTGATATAACCTTTCAAAATATTGAGTTTGTGTAACCTAAACCACAGTATCCGAATTAAAAATGTCTCTTTATGATGATTTGGATGTAAAATCACGTACAGCCACCGAGAATGTCTCGGGTTGGTCATCTGGGATTAAACTACTACAATCACAACTCCAGTTGAAGAAAGCAGCAGTCACTCAACAAAAACGCGACGTTCAACGAAAAGTAAGCCTTCCTCCTGTTATCGACCTCAAAAGCAAACAACGCGATGATGAAGACTACATATTACCACCGTACATTCCCAAGAAACCAGAGGTATTACTCTCAAACACCTCAAATTATGGCAATGATATGGACTGGAATGTTATTGATGAGTATGATCCTCTTTGGCCCAATGAATATGAAAAGATAGTGAAAGAAATGCGTGAACATCGCGAGCGTGAACGAGATCGCGAAGATGAAAAGAAACGCGAAAAGGAACGTGATAGAAGAAAGAAAAGCAGATTCAATGATGTTGTACCTGAAGATGAAGTGCAATCAACACCACAAGCTACACTGCCACAGTTATCATCTGGATTTGCAGGCAGATGGGCTGAGGAAGATGAAGAAGAAGAACATCAGCCACAACCAAAGTCATCCAGATCAACTGGTGCAGCAATTGCTCCACCACCAAGTCTTCAAGAAACAGTTGAAGTTATTCCTGCTATTTTAAAACCACAATTGCGTCCGATTGAAACTGCTGGTGCTGGAGGAGCAGGTGGTTCAATAGCAGCCAAAATAATGGCTAAATATGGTTTTAAAGAGGGTCAAGGCCTTGGAAAGCAAGAACAAGGCATGTCTTCAGCTCTACAAGTAGAAAAAACATCGAAACGTGGTGGGCGGATTATTCACGAGAAAGAAATTATGCCGCCGCCTTTCGGTGCGGCTCCTCCAGGTGGGTCTAAACCTGGGGTTAAAGAAGAAGAAGAACCAACTATTACTGAGATAATGAAAAATCCAAGTAAAGTGGTTCTGTTGCGGAATATGGTCGGTCCTGGTGAGGTTGATGACGAATTGGAACCAGAAGTCAAGGAAGAATGTCATACGAAGTACGGTGAAGTTATTAGCGTGGTGATTCATGAGATTCAAGACCAGCCGCCCGAGGAAACTGTAAGAATTTTTGTCGAATTCAAACGAATCGAAAGCGCGATCAAGGCAGTCGTCGATTTAAATGGGAGATTTTTTGGTGGGCGAATGGTCAAAGCGACTTTTTATGATACTGAGAAGTTTGATAACTTTCTATTGCTTGAATAATTTGAATAAATTTAATTTAACTTGCAAGTCTTACTGGATTTATTGTTGCAGTACTTAATTAGTATAAAGTACGCAAATATAAAGTAAGTGTGTAGTGTTGCTAGGAAACTATTCACAACACCCATTCAACATATATTCACTGTTATCATTATTACTCGCGTTCCCCTGATAATAAATCAAAGCTCCTAAAATCAACGGTGTATACACTTCTCACGAGATAAAGTACGAGTAATAAAGCATGGACACCAATACTACAGAATCTCAACGATATCAACGATATTATCCCTTTGCGCGTGCGCGTTCGAGAAATTTTTTAAACGGTCGTAATGATCCACACTACACATATCTACTGTACCTCAGTCGTACACTGGGTTCCAACGGTCGCTTGCTACCGATCAGGTTAGCTTCGGTGTCGAGCACATGGTAAGAGACCTCAATAGTTTGCATTGCAGGTCATTTAGATTCCCCTTGCTGGTTTTATCGCAATTTCCACCAGGATGCAAAACGCTGGATTCTCATCTGCTCCATTCTGCGCATTGAGTAAGGGCATCTTGAAATAGTACAAGAAAGATTAAAAACTTGTACTATTTCAAGATGTCCTCGCCTCGATCCGAATATCAACGCTGGGTCGGCATCATTATCAACTATATTCATCGACGATGTCCTCGAGGCGAACCATGTATAACTAAAACAAACTTTGTAATTCTATCACGTAAAAACTTCAATAAACATATATTGTATATTCAGATCATAAAGCAGATGCTTTAACCTAACACTGCGCCTTGTAGCATTTGAGCAGCAACTGTGGGACCGGTTTGGGCCTACATCTTGTATTTTGTTTTGAATTGACAAAAATAGCGCAAACGCTAAACTAGTGTGGAGTTCAGTATTGTCTGGGCATATCACAAAGCACTCCACACTAGGATTCATAGTTTAAGAATTATTGAACCACGTGTTTAGACTGACTTTAGATTTGACTTAGCGGCGGTCACGTAGCGACATCTACCGTCAGCTAATGTGACATGGTCGTCGAAGTTCGAACGGGAGAGTTGAGAGTGAAGCCACGTTCACAAACATCAAAAAGGGAAAGCTTCCTCTTGATCAGCAACCCTCGAGGAGTCAACATATTTTATATATTCATTGTTATCCTTATTTAATTCGTTCGCGCCATTAAATAAATCCAACTGAAACATGTTTATGTAGTGTTGCATCACCCTGTACCTTTCACTCACAAGTTCAAATGTCATTTTGCTTTATGACATTTGACAACCAAACACGTCAAGGTTATATGTGCTACACATCTGTGACGATCTGCTCTGCGCTACATCTAACTGAATTTCGATAATGACTCAGAAATTATACGTTATAATCGATTTTGTCGCTGTGATATAGTGAAATTCCGCACGGTCACCCCACCATTTAAAACAATAGTGCATAAAGTGTTGGATTGCTCTGCAGAAAATTCCAAAGTGTTCACGTATTTTTATTCCTCTTCATACATTCATTCAATATGGTGAAGATCTACGCATTGAGCATCCTGTTCAAAGGTGCCACGGACGCGAAATTCCTCAAGAACGCGCACGAGTTACAAAGCTTCGGCTATTTTCAGCGCGGCTCCGTTCAAGAATTTATGGGGTTTGTTTCGAAAACGGTCGTTGAGAGAACTCCGTTGTCGACGCGTCAGTCAGTCAAAGAAGGAGGTTTGTACAATTCCAAAGTATTCTGCAACAAATTTGAATAAATGTTAATTAAAACCCGTCTAATTTTAGAATACATGTGTCATGTGTATGTGAGAGGAGATAGTTTAGGTGGTGTTGTTATCTGTGATCATGAATATCCACAGAGAGTGGCACACACACTAATTACAAAGATTCTGGATGAATTTGTGCATGCATATCCATCTGGAGGCTGGCCTAGTTTAACAGAAAGGGAAGTCGAGTTTAATCAGTTGAATGTGTATTTAAATAAATATCAAAATCCCCGGGAAGCGGACGCCATGACGAAAATGCAGGAGGATTTAGATGAGACAAAAATTATTTTGGTGAGTTAAACAAAACTTTGCAATTTAAAAAAAATAATATTTGATATTTTAGCATAACACAATTGAAGCAGTGCTCCAACGTGGTGAGAAACTCGACGATCTGGTGGTAAAGTCTGAAGGTCTGAGCATACAGTCCAAGGCCTTCTACAAAACGGCTCGGAAAACAAACAGCTGCTGCACGTTCGGTTAGCTGAGCACTTGTTATCCACGTGCGCAGTTCGCCACATTCCAAGTGCATTATTTATAATTTATCAACAAATTTCGGTGTACAACAAAACGCAAAACACAACCACATATTGTGATATGTCTCCAAAGCGCATTTTCTAACAACAATAACAAAATTGATGAGAGCTTCAACTTCAGCGAGATGAAAAACAATGACAAACCCCCCTGGATGTGTTTATGGTATATAATTGTTCAATAGTCGCTTCTGTTACGAGTATAAATGGACAATAAGTGTTGTATGATTGATTGTAATACGTATAAACCGATATTGAATGTTATCTTTCCTATATAGGTGTTTGTAAAAATGTCTATCAACGAGATTTATATATATTTAGCCAAAAATACGAACTAAAGATGATGATTTTAAGGGTATTGATGGAGAAAAAGTATTTAATTCGTATTTTATCGAGAACGACGACGGCATAAAAGACTACTGCTGATAATATATTGAATGTGTCTATTGAAGAGAAATATAAGTGTAAAGTTTATAAATGTAATAATTTAAATTCAAATTAAAATGAAATCAAAAACAAGTTAGTGTGTAATGCTAAAAAAACAATAATTTACCAAATAATAGAAAATACTTACTTTTTGCGGGATCAAGAAGGAGGAATGGATGTTAAACGGGAGGATTATCAAAATAATCGATAAATTCTCCTGGTGGAGTTGCAGGACGAGGTCTATCAGTGCGACCTGATTGTAAACGCAAGGACACCGACTCGGAAGAAGTGCCCGCACTGGGGGCGTTTAGATTTCTCATTGGGGGCTTCAACACTGGCCCGGGAACTTTTCTCTGGCCGTTTTCACGTTGTATAAGTTCGATTAAACTACAACTGGGTAACCATGATTTTTCTCTATAAAAATAATATATTTTTTTTTATTTAGATTATTATAGATTAAGAGCCCGTGACGGCCAGACTTTCGTCATTTTAGGAAAGATGAAATTTTGTCCATGTGTTTCTCCAACACAGGTAAGAACGATCCCCAATTATGAAACCTGGATCGTGGTTCCTTTGGCAGTTAACAGCCAACAAGGATGTACACATGATGACCTATGTTTCGTTATTTTAGCAAACTCCATTTTTGCATATTTTGTTCGTAACATTATTATAACATGCGCTGCTCATTGCCAGACACCTGGTATGGTTCCAACCCTAGCCAGACACCCCTAACTACAATATTTTTAAATTGTACTTACGTCATATTAGGAAAGCTAATTTTTTTATAGATGTATAAATATAATTCAGAGAGCTATTAAACTGTATTTTCTTAGTCGCCAGACAGTTTGGTGGGTTCTATCATCCTGCCAGACGCATTGAAAGTGTATAATAGTTGCAAAAGTTAAATTGTTTAAAAATTAAAATTTAACAAACTATTATACATTTTCAATGCGTCTGGCAGGATGATAGAACCGACCAAACTGTCTGGCGCGATAGAAAACACAGTTTCATAGCTCTCTGCATAATGTGTATCAAATTCAGCTTTCCTAATATAACGAAAGTAAAAAAAGTTAAAAAATATTATAGTTTAGGGGTGTCTGGCTAGGGTTGGAACCATACCAGGTGTCTGGCAATGAGCAGCGCATGTTATAATAATGTTACGAACAAAATATGCAAAAATGGAGTTTGCTAAAATAACGAAACATAGGTCATCATGTGTACATCTTTGTTGGCTGTTAACTGCCAAAGGAACCACGATCCAGGTTTCATAATTGGGGATCGTTCTTACATGTGTTAGAGAAACACATGGACAAATTTTCATCTTTCCTAAAATGACTAAAGTCTGGCCGTCACTGGCTCTTGCTCTATTAGTTTATATTATGATGAAACAATTAACTTACTTTGAAGCAGTAGCGACGACATTCCGATTTGGTTCGGCATCATATGCAGCACTCTCAACACCAAAGTGTTCGCAAAGTTCATGAACAAAATGGCGCTTTTCGCGATTCATGCACTCGAAAGAATGCGACCTGCTCTTCTGCTTACTCTGCTTTGCAAGCTGAACTAGCTCAGTGAGTTTATCATGCACGCTTTGGCAAAACCTTGCGTCTTTCTTAGCCCATTGCTTTAAATAATCCGTGTACCTTGGTGTTAACTTCGCACTCAAATCAGGATTCCTCAACTGTAGACCAATCGCCATGCGACGATTACGCTCAACCAATCGGCATTCATCAGTACACTCCAAACTAAATTTAAAGATACAAAAAGTTAAAAAAACATGTTAATAATAATTATGTGATAAAATCCTTACATCTTATGTGCACCACCCTTCATCTGCACTTTGACCACATCTCCAATATCCACCACCTGACCGCGATTTAAGTCTGCCATCTTGGCTGCAACCTGCGCCATCGCGAGGCGTTGATACTCAGCCGCCATATTCATACAAATATTAGTCCCGGTCCTCAGACCACAGGGACACGTCGTAACAACCTGTTGCTTGCATGGTTTCGTTGGGCACGGGCCATCGTGACACGGCCGATTACACAAATGCTCACAGTTTACTTTCGGTACAGTGCAGGGTTGTGTGCACGGTGTTGGGCATGCGCCTTTATGACAACCCTGCACACATCTGTGTTGCCCACACGGCATTTCCGCATTGCACGGCATGCCACAACTGAAATCTTCCTGATGACACGGAATTGTACCACGTGATTCATGTCCGCCATGACACAATTTAGTAGTAAACAATGTACACGGAGGACAGTTACCCGTGTGGCACATATGATGCGGTTCATGACCACAGGGTCGAACACGTGAACAGGGTCTAGTGCACGCAGGCGCACGTGTACCACAGGGTACAGGCGGGTAGATCACGGTCGCCCCACACTCACAATACAATTCCTAATAGAAAGAAACTTGAATAAACTCAAAATTTCTACATTTATGTTGAAATTACCTCAAAACTGGTGTGCCAACAAGGATCACACCTTCCCGAATGACAGTTCGATTCACACTTGTGTAATCCACAACTTAAATTGCGATTACAACTCAATGGACACCGATGTTCAATTTCAATGCAGCAAAATTGATTGCATTTATGCTTGGAGCACATACGCATCTTCGTGCATTTCTTCTGACATCTCGCGTCATCCGCCTTGGTAGTTAAATCCCTGCATGCGATTTCTTTATACATGTGACCACAACGACATCTGACCATGGTTGTCGCCGGACATTGAGGGCACTCGCCATTGTGGCACGTTGCTTCGCATCGGTGAGGTTTATTCGGTTGGCCGCAATTTAAAACTTTTGCGCATACCTAAAATATACAATGTATTAAACAATCAATCACTAAATGCAAAAACTTACTTTATCACAGCATGGAATAGGATCAAGGCACGACTTCCTCTCCAGACTCAAACTCTTCTTCCCGCATGGGCAACTCCTTATCCTGTCAGGATCCGTAGGACACAATGAACAGTCCCCAGAATGACATGGCTTGACACATTTATGATTTCCACAAGCCAATAGTTTCTGGCAAACATCACCGCATTCATAATGTGCGACATCTTTCGTCTCCAACACACAATCAACTTTTTTACCCTGTTTGCCACAGTAACACTCCAATTTGACTTTCTCCGTGCATTTTCGGCAGTCATCCCAGTGACATTTCTTACCACAAACGTGAATATCACAGTTTAACAACTTGTTGCACACGGCGTCGCAAGTCAGCGGAAGATTTGAATTACACTTGACTGTAGCTTTGGTTGCGCCACAACCGCAAGCTTTTTGTACAAGCACTGTGCAATCCGGACACGGGCCTGGATGACAGAGTAAAGTACAAGTGTGCTCACAATTACGGCCGCTGCGGCGACAAACCTCGCCGCAACTGTGCGCTAGAAGACCGGGTTCGAATTTGGGATCAGCGTATTTGTCACAATAACAGCGATAATCGGTTGGGACCGCGTTGAGGACATTCTGGCATGCTGGACAACGCCAGCCATTTTCTAACTTTGATGATTTCGCCCATTTTTGTACGCAGGACAAATGCAAAATGTGGAAACACTGCTTACACGACCAGACACGATCTGTGTGGCGTACTTTCTCGCAGCAAACAAGACATTCAATCATGCGATGTGTAAGCATGTGTTCCAAACGTTCCCGTTGCGATGCTGCATCAACTATAATAAAAAAACAAATGCATTAATGTAATATTTAATACACAAAGTTGAAAAAAACGCTTACGTTTCTTTTTATATGAAGTTTCTTTCTCAAGTTTCTCGTTAGATGGCGCAGTGTTATAAAAATTCTGCGACGTTTGCGCTGATTGTTTTGGCTCATCTTTCTTTTCCGCCATATTGTCAGTTGATTTCTCATCATTCTTCTTTTCTCTTTCATCAATTTTTGTATTACTAGGACGTTCACGCCAATTTTTATGTGACGACCTATCATTGTAGCTTTTATTCGGTCGCCAGTTATCTTTATAAGTATTATCACGCGTATTATCACGATCGCGATAATTTTTGCGGTCTCGATAGTCTCGTTCTGGGGCGTTATCGCGCGAATTTTTATAGTTTTCTACATACCCATTTCTATTCCTAAATTTACTGTTACCATTTCCGTTACTAGTGTTGCTATTATAATTATTGTAGTTGCTGCTATTACTAGGTGCATCCTGATTTTGATTCTGATTATAATTATACCTGCTTTGTCCTTGACTTTGACCTTGCATGGGTTTCCTTCTGTCCCTGTTGTGGCCAGTTGCTTGTTTTCTCTCCATTTGTGCATCAACAACAGCATCTTCAGTTAGTTTTGGTTTTCTCTCCTTAAAGTTATCTCTAGGTTTATAATTAGGTCTCTGCTGTTGTTGTTGAGGCTTGTTCCTTCTTACAGCCCCAGTATGCTCCATAGATTGAGTTGGAGGCTCAATCTGTGTGTTGTAGAACACTGTGGGTTGAAATTCCTGGGCAGTGGGTTGTAAACTGGAATGGCTGATGTCAATCATTGGTTGTGTGTACTTTTTATGCCTTGATTGTGGCTGTGAGTGTTGTAACCTGGACTCAACCTCTTGAAGGGTGAGAAACTCAGGTTGGGCAAAGGGGGCGGGTGGAAACGGCGGCACATGCTGACGTCCGTCATTACCAAAGGGAGCATTATGGTTAGACATTAAAGAAACAACTAAGAAGAAAGAAAATTGTATTAATTATTTAAGATATAATATTGCATAATATTTATTATAACTAAATCATATTAGATATATACCTTGATTGTATTCCGTGCGCGTTGCAGCTATTTTAAAAGTTTTTGCACGAATTTCGATGGGAAAATTAATTATTACAGCTGTTTTCACTTTGTAGTCGTGCTTACGATGCACAATGTGGCACAAATAACGGGGTAAGATTGGGAATGAAGAGAGAGGTTATCCGCTCGCGGTTTTATCCACTTGTTCGCTCGCGAAGTCTGTCGGGGAATTTATTAATAAAAATCGCCGCCGAGTAATTTGTTTCACATCACGGCGCATCATCGCGCAATATTAGCGAATTGCAGGTTAAAATTAGTTCACCAACCTGCGCACGGCGGCTCTGTCATCGGGACATTTCATGAAGGTCAAACTACCGAATGGTTAGGCTAAGTTAACACAATTAAATCTTTCGCATTGAATTTAAAAATATCAATAGGATTAATATTATTTTAATATAATTACAAAAAACAAGGAATATTAAACTTGAATAAAGTACAATAATAATTATTGAATTTGTAAAGTACAATTTTTAGTGACTAGCAATGAAACATAAAAGGTAACCAACGTATGCAACCAAACAATCAGTGTCAAAAGAGGGAAGAATTGACGTTTCGGGTTAAATAATTTGACAGCTTACTTTTGCCCTTCATACACACGCAGCAAGTAGCAGAAAATGTTGGTTTTTGTATGTAACAATCAAATTGTTTTGTTTAAGAGGGTAATTCATTGATAACGTAGCAAGGTAATGGAAACATATTTTATTATTATCAATAATGATCCAAATAAGAAAACAAGTATCGTATATTTAAGTCCCAATTTATATCAAAACAGCCAAATCATGAATCTTAACCTCAAAATACATTTACAAATGGTTTCAACTCATTCATCAAACAACTAAAACTGTATACCTAATGATTCCCACTTGTTTACTCGTTGCATTCCACCATTTCAACAAGTAACAGCAAGTTAAACATGTTCAAAAAGTTCAACATCTATTCATTTGTCCGCTCCGCTAGTCGATCGCTCTGTCCACTCTATTAACATGTCTCGTTAGCGCATTCAACTCCTCCCACGCTTCCCACTCTCACCACCCCCGGCGGCCTCCAGCGACGCGCTCGTCGTGCCTGTCTCATCAGCCACACCTTTCGCCCGCCTCTCACACCTCTCCCACTTCCCTTCCACCTCTCGCAGGGACCCACCACCAGGGCGGAGCTCCACATCCAGCGTTCGGCCCTCTTTTCGCCCTCGTGTCGCTTCCACCGCAGTCGCACACCTGTGCTTGTACCTGCGTGCTGCGTGCGCCCACCACACACACCTGGGGCCGCTGTGGTCTGCTCGCGAAACGCCGCGCGCGCGCGACCGACAGATCGAGATAACGAGCGCGCACTAATTGCCTCATTAAACAATACCCGAAACCAACGAGAAGACGAAAGAAAATTAAAAATTACACTCTACAGAACTTTTTTGGTTTGCTTCGTTGGCTAATTACAAATTAATGTTTTGATGATTTTAATGATTTAATACGATTATTACACGTGCGTCGTCAACATGTTTTTAATTCGATAGTTTGCAGTGTGCAAAAGCGTTTTAGTTTGATTGTTTGTTGATTGTGAGTGATTCCGTTGTGCTAATTGCTGAAATTGTCAGCGGGCGGCCATTAACGAAACGGTAACTAAATTTTTTAATTGTTTTATTTGGGGAAAATTTCTAGAAATATGTCTAACGTAATATAAGTAACATAAAACAAATAATTTCATAATAAAAGTCGTCAACATTTGAAGAATTTTTACGAGCGCCACCACGTCCGTTACGCATTTTTATGCGCACTGGCGAGTTATTATCGTAATATCGTCTTAATAACCAAACATAACTTTGACATGTGTCTAAAATGATAAGTAGGTAATTCAGTTTGTTCACCTTAGTAGTCATACTAATTTCTACTAGTTTTTTACAATAATTTTTAGTCATTTGAATGAATTTTTATATTTTTAGGTTATGACGTTTAAAATTTGACAGTAATTTATTATGGCGGTTATTTTATTTACAACTATAACTACCAGTAACAGTTTAAACAAAATTTGTATTATTAACGGATTATTATTGCAAATTTGCCTAAATATTTGCTTATTTAAAGTGAATCAAAATTTACTTTCAGATTAAACTGTCAAAAACTGTCAAAAATGATGAAAATCCACCTTATTTTAGGTTAGGTCAAAAATCATAACCTATTCGAACAAATTATTTGTGTTTTTGCTTGTTTTTATCGACTTTTTGCGTGTTTCAATAATTATTCTGTTATTTTGCGCAAAAACAACAATAATAATATTAAGATAATTAGTTTTAAAGTAATTAATAAAAAAAAGTGCAGCTGTTGTTTTGTGTAAAATAGGAGAAAACCACCAACTTTGTTTTATATTTATAAATTTTACGTAATTTGAAGTTAAAAATGCTTTTTTTTTGCATTAATCCAAGATGGCGTCTTTGTAATTAACTTTAACGACTTGTGACGGCCCTGATTTAACGCTTTTTCACTTATCACTCAACGCGCATTTTATAGCCGCAGCGATAACAAATAGTTTCTAACGTTTTTTATTAACACAAACATAAAATTTAAAATAAAAACTGTCGTTAACGCCGTACATGCGCTAAAAGTATGTTTGGTTGCATGTTGCCAAAAAAACTGGTTTCAATTACAATTTTAATTATCATCCGCCGTTCGCGTGGTGAGTGCTGTAAAGAATTAAAATTATTCATAAACCTCAATTACAGATATCCTGTGCAATCGTCGGGCTTATCCTGGCTATCAGCTAGATTAAAAGCGACGCGCCGCGAAGGAAGAACGACGCTAATAGCGCTAATAGCACGCTTCGTTGTTGCTAATTGTTTTAAACGCGCTGCGCGCAATCGGCATGCGAGCCAACTTTAATTGTAGCAGCAGCAGCAGGACTGACGAAATGCAAAACGTTCGCCTCGAATCGAAAAAATGAGTGAAAACGTTAATGTTAATGCAAATGAGTGTAATGCGTAATGAGTAATGGCTAAAATGGTAAGAATTGTTTTCATTTCTTGTTATTGCCAACAGGAAGTTAGATTTATCGCTCTTTTCGTGCTGTGGCTGGGTACAAAGAACTGTTATTAACATTTTTAAACAGCGTTTAACGAATTATTCGCGTCAGTAACAAGCGGTAAATTAAAATTACTTCAAATAATAACTAATCAACTCATAAGTTGAAATATTTAAATTTGGTTAGTTAAATAGTTAATAATAAGAATATTTTCAGAGCGGAAAATGCAATATCTATTTTCCGGTCGTTGTTCACACGCTATTTTTTATATCTCACCTGTTGGTATAACAAATATTATTTTACAAATTTGTATAATATAAAAATGAATTGCAAAATCTGTTGGTAAGCGTATAACTCAACAACGCCTCCACCAATTTGGCCAATTCTTTTTTTAAATGTTTGTTAAAGTCCAAGGATGGTTTTTACAGCGAGAAAAATTTGAATAATTGCCGGGAAAACCCTAAAGACAGCCCTTTTCTATAGGATAAAAGTTGGCATTGATATTCATTCATAGTTATAGTTCAATAGTTGAATCCGAGATGGCGCGCTGAAGTGCATTATTAGCAATTCTTTATATAATTAATTTTTTAAATAAAATTGCGAATTTTATTGATAGAATTGACCCATACTATGTCTAGAACAAGAGAGTAAAAACGAATTACATTTTTATTAAACACTACCGGGACGAAGTCGTAGGCAAAACTAGTGCTAAATAAAATCTAAACTTTGTTCCAAAAATACAACTAAAACTAATGTATTCTATTCTGTTTTCTTTTATGTACAATGGTATACTAAATATGAATTGATGAATATTTACTGATAACAGATAACCCATACTTAAAATAAGTACCGTTATCAGAATTTATGGCAAAATATTCGAAATTAATACGCCAATTATTGATAAAGCATTACGGAGCCGCTACTTTAACAATTAACTTAATTATTTTCCATCCATCGAAATTTAAATAATGACAATTACGCTAAGTGAATTTCGACTATCTGCAGGTATCGGTTATATGCGGCATAATTCATCCATCGCGGCGATAATTTTTCGGCGACTGCGCAATTTTATCGTCACTCGCGACAATGGCGTGTTAATTAGCGAATTGTTTTAACTATTGATACTTAACTTATTTAAATTACTTTACATATTTTAAATGTATAACTTTTGAAGGTTAGCTACTCAAAAACCAATATGCTGTTTCAAATTGATTCAATTAACTAATAGTTTTCGAAAATACCAAAGTCAAATTTTAAAATTGGAAAAATCATTGGTAAGTAAGTAGTGATGTGATATATTTTACGCTAGTGCGCATGCGCATTTTACTCAGTTGTAAATAATTTCTTTTTTTTAATTACCTGCATACTATTTGTGCAATTATTGTGGAATATCATGTAATTGTCATGAAAACACATGTACTAATCAATAATTAGCAGAAATAATTAGTCAAACAACTAATTGCCCGCAAAGTTTAACCTTAAAAATGATTAGGTACTAAGTTGCCGTTAATATTAGTAGATACGTGTAGTAGGCAACTATTATTACACAAATTGAAAGAAAAATTTTTTTTTTGCTTGAAAACAACTAATTTGTTTGTATGTGTTCCTTTTAAACAAAAACTACTTAACCAATTTTGATAAATTTTGGTATAGAGATATTTATGAACCAGGAAAAGCAAATAGACCACTTTTGTCGCAAAATTATAACTTACAGGGTAAAAAATAAAGGCTAAAAGTTGTTATAAATAAAATTATATAATTTAAATCCAGATGGCGCTGTAGCTCATTATTGACATTTCACGTTTTTTTAAATTAAAAATTTTAAATTTTAAAATCAATGCTGTCAATGCCACAAGCAAAAGAAAGTTTTATAATATAATAATTGACAGTGATTTAATTTTTATATATACTTGGCTGCAGTAATTAGGTCCGCAGTATTATCTACACAAGTATTAATATTTTACGCGTTATTTTCACGCACGTAATTACCGCTTATCACAAGTATTCGAACGCACTGCAGTTAAAATGGTTTCGTGTTCAAGCATTGAAGAAGTAAAAGTAATGCGCGACAACGAGCGAACGAGTTGACTTATTGCTTATTGTCCAAGTACCTATACTTAAACACCACACAGTAATGCACCGCACAGAACAACGTAACCTACAAATAATTTCTAATCTTATTTCAGATAGTGATATAGTGTCAACTAAAAATTCAGTCCAAATGGATAGCGGCGGCGAATGTGTCGAAATGGATTTGAGCACTACCACGCGTGCGCACGACGTGGTGCAGCACCATCAGGAGAACAAAATGCGCGTGGCTAAGTCAGTGTTTTCAATACGCAGCCTCGTCGACTTAGGTGATAACACCGATCGAATTATCAATGGTGAGTTATTACAATAAATAATATCATTCGAATATTCGTTAGACTTACGCATGCGTGCCTTATTTTTGGATGTATAAAGCAGGTGGTTTTATTTTCACGTCGAATTACAGCGAATCGAAACGTTTTCGATGCGCTGCTATAAGTTTTAAAGTGATCGAAAAATAAATTTCACGAGCGATTAGCTTCGCATTGTTAATGGAATTTCACGCTTCGAAAAATATTTGTTCGTCGACCATAATCACATTTTACTTAGCGCGTACGAAAACATTTTAACAAGCTATTTTTTACGCGGCGAATATATTGGCGTCTTGTGTGCTGGGTCAGTGTTATAGGCAACACAAAAAGCACGCGTTGCACAAGTGTTGCTCAAATTAAATTGCTTGCTGCGCGCATTCTGCACACGCAAAATGGCGTCCGCGTGCAAAAAACTGCATTACACGCATTGTGTCGCCATAATCGCATCAAAAACCAACAAAAACCTATTGAAACTGTTGAGTAGCTGCGCGTAATCTTACTAAATGAGGTTGAGTATATTACAACTTGTGAAGATGTGAAGATATTTCCTGTGTTGCGGAAAGAATTAAGGAAGAATCAACTAATGTTTGATGTTGCTGTACATTACCTACTCCAACGTTTTTTATGATGTGCAGACTGCAGGAAATGTAATGCTATTGCAAAAACAATATTTCCCACATGAAAAATAGAAAAGTTGAGGAAAAAATTCAGGAAGCAAACAAATGATGTTCAAATGACTAGAAATTAGATAATTGTGTTGGTATAGCTCCGCCTTGCATGTATAACCTATAATGTACACGCGCATGCGTACTAAACACATGGGCGGAGCAAATATATACTTTTTTATGTTTTGATGGGTTAAAATTGAATTTACAGTATTGTTTCTACCGGAAATATGTTTCCTTAGCTTTGTTTACTTACCTAAAGAAGAAAAAGTTTCTGATCATGACGACATGATGAGCTGACGAGTTGACACGCAGTTTGAAAATTACTTTTCTTGCGCGACGATGACTCTCTCAACGTGACGAATTGGTTTTTATTCCTGTGATTTATTAAATTACGGTGAACGTGCCACGGCGAAAATGCACTCAAACGTAACAAAAATTTTAAATTATTCGATCAACCGAGAAATCGAATAAAAAACGGAAAAAATTAAACAAACAGAATTTAAGTAAGAAAAATAAAAAGTAAAATTTTTCAAATTTTTTTCGCGCATGCGCAAGAAAAAATTGAAAATAAATTTAATGATTGTCTTTTTTAGTTTAGACACGTCAAAAATTAATAATTTACGAGTGGCGCGGTAGGTCCGTCGATATTAGTGCCACACGAAAATAATTTATCTGTTGTTTGTACCCGTCGAGCTAATTAAGTTTATATGAATTTTCATTAGGCGGCGCATTCATCTCTCCTGTCGAACAAAAATGGAAAAGAACGAACATAAAAATTAAAGCTTCAAATGAAACAAAAGAATATAGCGACGAATAAATATAATAAGCTAATTGTTGTTTATGACTTGACACATGACGAGCCTTTTACGACTAGCGCCGGACCTAATGCGGTAATTAATAATCAACAGGGTGGTGCAAAAATAATTAGAAATCATTTCTCGTTGCCTGTGAAACGTAATAATTTAACATAAAATTAATATTAAATATTGAATACGGAATGAATAATTAGTTGAGGTTATTATGCTTTAACCTCAAGGATAATCGAATTCGAACGTGATCCGGAATGTAATTAAGCAATTAAGTTATTTATGATGTCGCACACATTTGCATGTTTAATTAAATATCAAATCGGTTTTTTCGTTCTTCATATGCGCTATGGTAATGTAATAAATGTTTGAAAACACGGCATAAATATTGATATAATTTATACTGGCTATGTAATAATATGTTCAGACACACGTTAAACAGCGTTTGAAATTTATTAAAAGTGAATTTTAGTATAATAGCGCAAAATTATATCTTGGGAGCTCCGCCCATAAATAAACTACGCATGCGTGAGGGTCTTAAGCTTGCGCATGCGTATTAGACTAATGGGCGGAGCAAATATTCACGTTTATTATATTTTAAACAAGTTTTTAGTCGTTTTTATATTTTTGTTAATGATCGATGTTTCCTTTTGATTAATTAACAATTAATTCCGTTTTTGGCGCGCGTGCGTATATTCATATAAAATATAAAAGTAACGAGCCGCCAAAGCATGCTTTTTATTTCACGTTCTCATATCGTGCATCGTGCGCGTCCAATAAAAATAAATCGAAGCGCCCGGTTGGAAACCTTTAGAATTTCGTTAATGGCCCCGAAGGGCGCTCGTTAATCGTGCGTTAATTATGACAGCGCCGTTCGCCATCTACCAATTTGTCTCGTTAAAGCAAAAAAACAACACATACATAACCTAAACATAACCTACATATATCACATCCGCCATCTTGAAATACCCGTAATGCTTATAATTGAGTTATTTTTTGTTTTAAGCTGTTGAGTGCTCGTTGAATTGTGAAATGAGTGAGGGGTTGATTTCTGTTTCGTTTTTGCCGACAGACTGGGTAGGTGGGTAATAAATAAGGAAATTGGATTATTACCGGCACGATATCGTGTGCTCACAGGAGAAAAAAACAACATGGTTGCCATATGCTACCATATAACTATAATAATGACCGCGAGATGGCGTTAGTGTTACATATGCTAAGAAACGCGTGTTTTTAACGATTTGCATTAAACTCGAAAACTCAACACGATTTATCGCTATATTTCACTGTTTCCTGTTGTGGATTATCACGTTTCGCCTGTGTGTGTGTTTTACGATTATATTCGCTCGCGTTGGTGCCCGATTGTGGCTCGTCCCTCGACCAATCGCATTCGCACTAATTGGCGTCTCGCCTTCGGCGCCTCGGCGCGTTTTCTCTCGCGTTTCTCATGATTCGTGCCCGCCCGATGCCGGCGCACGGCCGCCTTATATGCTATGTAGCTATGCTAATACCGATGTCCGCGCATCAACTTGATTAGAATTTATTGCCTCAGCACCAGTGCCGGTGCCGCCAACAAACAAACAAACGAAACAAATTGTTAATGCGCATTCTCTCAATTCACCTCGTGGCTTGTGAATACCGAAGAATATAAATTGGAAATTACCAGCGATTAATTTAATAATTATCGCTTTTTGTTCATTGCCGATACGTAAAAACAACGCGACAGATGGCGCCACTAAAATATCAGACAATTTTCGGAAAATAACTTTATTTTATTGGAAATAATTTATGAGCACACCCAATTAGGCACTCGTTTTAAAACGGGGCTGGTTGATGGTTGCTGGTCGGCCGGGCTTAATTAGCCATTAATACGTAATTATCTCGAAATAAAACATTAATACGTGCAACACGTGCACTGTTTCACTTTGACATTCTTTGTCTTTTTATTTGGCTTTCATTTTTTTATCGCTTGACTTTGTGCTTTGTTCTAATTTGAATATTTGTGCGGCGGAATGTCATTAACAAGCATGTAAGAATTTAAAAGGGTGTAATTACGACATTATCGTCATGCCGGTCGCAATGTATACACATATTTGTACACATTACAAACATTTGAATAGTGAATAGTGGTTGACTGCAATTTGTACAACGGAAATTGGAATATAATGAGGAAAAAGTGATAAAAGCACTGAAAAATGAAGATTAGTTATTAATAAGTCCAATAGATGGCGTTAGCAGTTACAAATTCATATAATTCGTTTCTGTTTGTTCCAGAAATATTTTAATGGTTAATTTTTATTATTTACTAGCTTTTGCCCGCGATTTCGTCCCGGTAGTGTTTAATAAAAATGTAATTCGTTTTTACTCTCTTGTTCTAGACATAGTAGGTATGTGTTAATTCTATCATTCAAATATTTTACTATAAATATGATTGAATCTCAATGCCAACTTTTATTCTATAGAAAAGGGCTGTTTTTCGGATTTTCCCGGCAATTATTCGAATTTTTCTCGCCGTAAAAACCATCCTTGGACTTTAACGAACATTTAAAAAAAAAGAATTGGCCAAATTAGTCCAGGCGTTGTTGAGTTATACGCTTACCAACAGATTTTGCAATTCATTTTTATATTATAGATTTACCTAATTGCTTCATGATGATAGACGTAGGTAAAAGCAAGGATATCAAATGAGACATTGTAATATATACTCGAATCAATTTGTTTTATTGCGCGTTTAATCTCTTCTGGGTCTCTTTTCTGGACGCGAGTGTGTTTATCTCGGAAAGACTGAAATATTTTATATTTTAATGCGACGCTCGCGTCCGCCGGCCACACAGTATATCGCGTTGATAAGTGGACATTAGGCACGCGACACACACACACACACATGGTCAGGATTGCCTGGATTGTCTGGAATGTTCATCTGACGCGCGCGTAAGAGGTAAGAGTCGAAGAGGCGCCCGCAGACGCGACGAGACAAACAAACAGACGTGAACATGAAGCTTCTTTACTTCGAGCGCCGCTATGTAAAAGGAAGGCTTTTACTGCGGTGGATAATAAAACGATGAGACAAGGTATACCTACCTAATGATGAGAGTTGATGGTTGAAGAAGTAAACATGAAACAATAAGTTAGTTTATGTTATAAGTACGTAGGTTTATTAATACTTTTTAAGTGTTTAATCATAGATGGCGTTAGTAGATTGGGTTAACTAGTCCATTTTTGCGCCATCTATGGTTGAATTATTCAACTATAACTATGATTGAATCTTGATATCAATTTTTTCCTTATTTAACACCTTTTCGGTCATAATTTTTAATATTTTATTAGTTTTTCTGTTATTCCAGACCAAGATGAATCCAACAAATTAGAGATTATCAAAATCTGTCGAGTCGTTCTTGAGTTATAAATGCTTTAACTAACGCAACAACCAAATCAAATTTTACATAATAAATTTATTTTGGGTGGCGCTGTTGTCGCTCCATAATGTGTTCCTAACCTAAAATCATGTTAC